ACCAAAATAGCGCAAAATGACCATTTTCTGGAGGCTCTACAAGCATAACTGCTCAGTATTTTTGACTGATTCTTTGATAGGCTCATTCAGGTTGACCAGAGGTATGTTCTGGCTACCTCTCCAGTTAGCACATATTTTTTTTTTCAGATGCCAAAAATGGTCTCCAGAATAAAAACCTTCTCAAGGCTCCAGCTTTCACTGAAATTAGTCTATACCAAGGGAAGTGTAACACAACTACATAATGTAAAAGAATACACAAATACATTTGAGGTACAATAGATTCTTAGAAAGAACCAGAAAAATGAACCAACCTTCATTCTTTTTGCACTCAACTGTACCATCCATTTCAAAAGCTTGGACTTGAGCTAGATTAGTATCCAACAGGTTGGACTAGAATATGCACTTCAATAATCAACTACATTAAGTACCACTCCACATACAATTAATTTTAAAAGCATGCAATTTGGTGTGCAAAAAGTGCAATGTTGTTTCTGAATGAAGTTCATACAGAGTGGTATTTTTGCTCAAATTTTATCTTCTTGGAATTGACAGGTATATGAGAGGCTGATCTAAAGTTTAAGAAAAAGATCCCCAACAAAACACTGAGATTTGATTGATATATTAGACTGGTTATGAAAAAAGTCAGTTCATTTGAGTTGCGACTTGGCCACCAGCTAAGCATGAATAACTCAATGAAAACTTGATACATTTTAAGTTCTTCTTCCAATAATTTAGATCTACTTCCTATCAATCTGGAGACTTCAAGAACATAAAATCTGATCACCTTGCTTTAGCTAGGTCTCCCAGCTTCATATTCCTAAGCAAATATTGATACCAAACATGTCACTCTTCCGCAAACATGGCACAAATAATACAGCTTCCTGGATGTCATATTTTTCAAGATTGGAACAAACATCTCACTCTTCCACAAACATGGCACAAATAATAGGACATTCTGGAGGTCATATTGTACATATTGGACCAAACACTCCACTCTTCTGCAAACATGGTCTAAACATTCTACCACCCGCTGCTGCGAGGAGTTGGCCGAAGGACGGGCAATGAGCAGCAGCCTCTTGACAAGCTATGAAGGAACAAAAAAATAAAAGGAAAAGATTCTGCTAACTTAAGATAAACAGTGGGTGATGGGAACAGCTGAAATGATTAATGCATTTTGTAAGTTTTTTGTTGGGTGAAGCTGAGGGTGTACTAAGAACCATTACTAACATATTTAAAATACAGAAGCAAGGTGTTTGTTGACAAAGTCAACCTCTAGTTAATAATTGTGCTCTATATAGACCAAACAAAAGAGAATCAGCCAAAAAATGCAAGAACACTAATACCATATGGTATGGTATCCACAGCATACCATACCATACCACACATACCATACATACCATACCATACCTGTCATACCTAGTGTTTGAAAGTCCGGTTAGGTCCGGTTATTGGGTGCCCAGGGGCTCTAACCGAGACCGAGACTGGTTAGCCTTTGTCCCAAAACCTAAAATAACCTAACTGGACCGCAACTAACTGGTTACGGTCAGTTATTTGCAGTTACTAACCGGTTAGGACTGAAAAATAAAGAATCGGTTATAACAAGGCAAATATGCTCATATGTATCTTGATAGATATTATTTCTGCATATTCTAGCTTTAAAACGAGCCCAAGAACGCTAAATCGGTGAAGAATTGACATATTTATGCAATTATCCTTGAAAGTCTACACATTTGAGTGATATTTTAGAGATTTGACTGTAACTTAGTCAAATTTTAAGTGTTTTCGACGTTCTCAA